CGTTCAAAATGAATCTATCCGTTATAATCCAAATCCAACAATATTTTGGACTCAACCTGAAAGGATTTAGATCATTTTTTCGCACTCCTTTCTTATAATATATTATTTTGAAACACAGTGTAGTCTCTAATAGCATGCTCCCCATATCCTAATAGTATATGAAAAGCTAATTCACTGGAAGAATTTTGCTTTCCTTCGATAAATATTTTTATATTTCATCTAGAATATTTGCGTGACTTGAGATGAGATTCTGTTCACGACGCTCTCTACTTCTAGTGAGGTACGCTTAGCGCCTGCTGTTTGATGCAAAATAACTCTGTTTAAACATTTAATGTTGATCACATTGATCAAAAAGTTATAATTCGCTTTATATTCCTCTATAATTTCGGATTTACCGACACAGTTCCCTAGGCTTGAGGGTATTAGATTTACTTCGTATTTACAAAGATCAACAGCAGTTAGGACGCCAGATTCGGCCATACCAGACTTATTTGTTTCTACATATACCCTCTACTAGTTCTCCTATCGTTTTTGGATAAAAAGCTTAGCTAGAAACATTAGCGTGACAAAAACAATAAAATATCATTTATGGATTATGCATAAATAGACTATCAAGGTTGTGGCAAATATGCACAATTTTATGGACATGATGAAAGCTAGCAAATTATCTCCGAATCAGATGCGATACTCTAGCTCGAAGAAAATAAATTTTACTTCCTAGAATTATCACATAGACATGCATTTACTTGCAGTATTAACACCTCCTTATTTATTGTGGCATGAACCGCCATTTTGAAGGGAAAGTTGGTTGGAAGGACGTTGTGATGTGGTCTAACCGGAAACCGAAGAAGGATTGTCGCGTAAGGAAGACTTGAATTATGTGAAGAAGTCCTCAGCTCACCGTCCTGAGACCCCGATGAAAGTGTGCCAAGCATTCGTCTGTAGTGAGAGAGACATGATCAGATCACCCATACAAACTTAATGAAATAAAGCAAGAGTACACTTAACCAAGAGAAAAGATGGCCGGCTAAAACCTTAGTGGCTTTTTTATACACCTAGCAACGCGATCTTAATGACACATCCCCTGATTTGGTTGGCTACTTCAACCTTTCTTTACATGCTTACAAATAAGTGAAGTTAACCTCCCCAACAGAAGGTGCGTTCCTTGGCAGCTGTTTCATCACACAAAAACAAGCGTACAATCGTTTAATGTTTAATGATGCTTGGGCTTGTGTTATTGTCTATTCTGTGTATGTAATGCTCACGTTATGGGAAGTGTGATACTCCTAGTTTGACTCGAAGCTAATCTAGCCTCTTTCATTTACTCATTGGTTATTCCTGCACCCACTCTCTCTCCCTTTCCTTAAGTCTATCCAACGGCTGCAAAAAGTTCCAACTTACTTTTATACACTCGTTCTTCCTATTCACGACGTTGGCTGTTTTGTTAATTTCTATAGACTCCCTAATCTTACGCTTTGACGTGAAGTCTCTGTAACCCACAAAACGTGTTTTGGACAAGACTATTGAGTTTCCTGTATTAATCATGTGTTCAGCGAGCTCAGCTTTTTGGACCCACATACCTTTACAAGCGGTTTTGTGTTCGCATAGTCTCTTGTGAATTGGTCGGCAAGTCTCCCCTCATATATCTTACCACATGAGCAAAAAACATTGTAACAGCCGGATCTAGAAAGAGGGTGTGAATATTCTCTATATAAAGGAACTACTGAAGAAAGTGTTGATTTCTCTTATACATTGTTTTTATATTCTATTTCCTCAGTAAATCACCTACATTTTCGCAAGCTGACAGGAAGACAAAATCAGGAACCGAGTCATATTGTCCGGTTGTCTAACTCGTCCCTGATAGCAAACTCTTCTAATCCTGTTAACTTAAATTGATATGTAATTGTCTACTAATCTTAATTGTAATATTGAAGTATCCAACCAAATGATGGTATGCCTCGTTAAGATCGCGATGTTATGTGTATAAAAAAGCGACTAGCGTTTTAGCCGGCCATATTTCCTCTTCTTTAGTATATTTTTGCGAAGAAAATTTGGGTTCCGAGGAATCTCTTGTTTCATAATTCTTATGCTTACTTTCATTTCGATTGAAAGTGTTTCATCTTTTCACCGGAATTGAATGAGATCACCTTGAAAACAGCCTCAGCAGAAATGTTCCAGTAAAGCCAATCGGCAGCTTGTCAAGAGGAATCTGCTGTCGTCTTCTGATGGAATTGACCTTCGAATCTCTTCACCAAACACATTCACTCGAAATGGAAGTAAACAGAAAACTATATTTTTGCTCTATTTCGTAAAGTCACAGTACAGACGAAAAATTAGCACATTTTCATCGGGATCACAGGACATTTAGCCAATTACGTCTTCCCTACTCGGTAATCCTCTTTAGGTTTTGCGGTGAGACCTTATTTCGTATTCCTTCCAACCAACTATCTCTTCGAAATGGACAGTCATGCCACAATATTTAATTAAGGAATTCTTCAAAACCTAGTTTTTTTTAATATCCTCTTTAACATTTATGCAGATAGGCAAAATTATTAATATTCACAAAACGTAGATTTTAAGACTATGAGTATAACTTCAAAAAAACTGCAGTCACCCTAAGCTCAAGAATGTGGATAAGGATTGTCTGGCACACGTTTGGTCAAAGGATGGACTTCACTTGTCTCTTTGACGAGTTGTAATGGCAAAACTCACTGAAGATGCCGACTACGATGCCGGCGAAACGTCTGGGAATGTACCACGTCCACGATCCTACTCTGGACATAATGATGCATACAATGAGAAAACAAGGTCAAACAACTTCTATACAATGAAAGGAGACTGCGACTACACAAAAGGCCACACCATCTTGGTCTTCATACCTTTGAATAAGGGTTGTTAGTTGAATTTTTCCACAGTTATGATCGTAAACCTCATGATGCCGTTAAAGTACACTTAGCCTTAATTCAAAAATGGCAGTCCTTATTATCTTGAGCGCAGTGAGGCGGCATGTGGTTTGGCGACCGAAAACCTACTTAAAAACGAAAAAGGAAGGAGAATGTTCATTTATTTTCATCAATTGTTCCAATTCCCCTCTTCTTGAGTAACTAAATTACCTTTTTTAGAAGGCTGAAAGGATAATTGTATCAAAAGCTTAATTGGTCTATCTTTCTGTTCTGCTCCAAATGCCTACATCCTCGCATTTGGGTTATTAGTATTGCAAAATAAACAATGTGAAAGAAAATTTATAAATCACTTTATATGATAAATAGTTGTTGATGATTAAACTTGAAATATTTCTCCCTCTTCCAATCAATTTAATCATAGCCGAATCGAAATACAAGTGGTGATGGAGCAAACATGTATTTGCTATTACCATCGACTACATTATTAATATTGTTATTGAGTGACATTCGAAACTACCATAATTCCAAAACAAACCAAATATTTCCTAAACAAAATTCGCATTTGAAATCAAACTGTAGTTTCAAAGCCTACTCACTCCGAATATATATAATATATTCGATCCTACTTCACAAAAATGTGATATGATATGATATATAAATTGTCTTGAATTTCACGTCTGCCCCGTTTCCCAGTGGTACCCGTGACAACGTTGCATGGCGGTCACACTCCACTACCCGGGTACGAGTCCCGTTTGGGCTCAGTCGATGCCGAAACCTTAGTCCACACTGGATGAAAATTCCTTTGAAGGGGCAGGGCCATGCGAAATTCTCTGGCATCATGAGACCTGTTCATATCATTGTGGGAAAATGCAACTATCAATTCTTCCTCACCTAAAGTAAGTAGAGCCCATATGTAAGATCTACTGGTTGATTCAAAGCCTACTCAATCATGGAATGCCTAATTAATGGAACAACGTTGGGCTCTATGTGCAAGGTAGTATCATAACTGGCAACCACTTTTGGTCCAGGGTTTGGCGAAACCTCTTGTGAAAATGACCTGATGGCCAGACGACGTCAATTACGCCTGGATGGATCGAGGCTGTGGGACGTGATGCCGTCGACCCCTTTTCATAATCCAAATGTCATAACTTCTGGTGTGGCTAACCTATGACTTGCTTCAACCCGTCCCTTATCCCCCAAACTAAAAGACCAGGAACACGAAATCCCGGAGACATTACTCGAGACCCAACTGTTTTTCTAATAAACCGCTGTCTGTTTATTTGCTTCTCTTTCCCCTTGTCAGCATCGTCCTCTTCGTGAGTCCCAGCCGCCATTTTTCCAACAAAGCTTCCCGCTAATAGAAATTGTGTTGCCATTGGGCAACGCAACCTCTTCTCTGCCTTCACTGCCCCAGAGTACAGAACCGGAAGTTCATACGATTGCTGAATCCATTTGCACCCCTGGCACCGACAATGGAGGTTACAACGAGACCGAGACTATCCCGAAAAGCCGAGGCTCCTGTATTGGCAATCTTAACTTTTCTCGATCCTCCGAGAGGCCCGCGCCATCTTCAAAGGATTTGGTATCACCAATATCTCTGACAGCGGCACTGGCACCAGAGCAGCACATCTGCGGTCCGCCCTCATGGCCGACGGTGCAGCAACCTCCATTTGTCCACGACGGTCTCTGCTTCTGTCCAGTTCACCGCAACCTGTCGCCACCTCTGCCTCCTCCACCGACACAGCCTCCACCATCAGCGGAGCAGCCTCTTCTCAATCCTGTTCATTCACATCTCCTGTCCCCAAACGGGGTGAGACAAGTTGCCTTTCAAATGCAGGAGATCAGAGAAGTGACTTTGACCCGACCTCAGACCGGCCTTAGGTTCGGGATCAAAATGGAAGCAACTGGGCAAGTAAGCCTTCTTTGTGTGCTCAAAACATTATTCTGAATTGGTCTTTTTCTCCTTACACCTTCAGGGCTTTATGAATGTACATATCTGAAGAATGTTTTAGGTAGTCTAATAATTTGCTATGAAGGACCTATTACATGGAGGTTAGGAGAGGATTTCCCTAAATCCCTTCGAGCACTCATTCATCCTCTTTCAGCAACTGAGCATAAAAGTGGAAAAAAATAAACATGGGGCTTTCGGCTTGTTGCTTATTGTTAAAATTCTATAATATAGACTAATTATGTATCCTGTATGAACAATCCTTAGCGTGTTTCCGCCTTTGAATTTCATATTTCCCTCATCTCATGAAGTAAAGCCGACAATTGAATGTTCCCAAAATGATACGATACAAAACCATAAATGGTATTTTTATTCAGGGTTGACTAAAATGCCAACTTTGTCTAGGCCTATTCCCTACCTCAAACGGTACTCGAACCTGGGCATTCC